AGGGGACAGGCAGAGTCTGCAGGGCAGGTCTGGGAGGCAACTGTGATCTGTGGGGGGATCAGGAGGGCAGATGGTCTCTGCAGTGGGGAGCAGGTGGGGTTGATAGGGCATTGGTGGTGTCTGGGAGGGTTTGGTGGGATCAGGGGGCTTATGAGGTCCATGGGGAGTTTGGGGGGGACCAATGACTATACCATAACATCTCCCCCTCACAAACCTGCACCTCCATTCCTCCCACCCTTTACCCTACTGGGACTTACTTCCTTAGTTCTTGGTATTGGCAAATGCTGATTTAAAACTGGCACTGGGAGCAGCTTATAGCATGGGGATTTGGGGAGCTGAGGGGCAGCTGGTCCATGGTAGGGAGGAGGGGCCAGCAGGGTTAAATATAATTCAGTGCTAGAGGGGAATGTAGGAAAAGCACAGCCGTGGGACTGGTGCAAGCAGCTGGGCTTTCCCAGTCCTGGGGCCACGTTGGGAACTGTACAGAAGCTCCCAGGATGGAAAGTTAGATCAGTCTAAAAATGGCCAGCCCAGTCTAAGATAGGCTACCTTGCAATAGGGTTAACTTGGATTGGGTCGGCCATTTTTAGACCAAACTAACCTTCCTGGAACTTCTGTACAGGTCACACTTAGATGAACCTAACTAGCGATCTAAGTGTAAGGTCCGCATCTAGCTTAACTAAGATCAGGTGGCCATCTTTATCATGATCTAACCTCCCCCTAACTCCCCACTTTCCTTTTTGCCCCCTGAATGTCTGCGTATAGCCTGAGAGAGGAAAGTGTTCCCCGTTGCTAGGAAAACAGCCATATAATAATAATACCACAATAAAACTTTTGCAAAGGGCAATTTCTCTTTTTTATGTTTGCTTTCTATGGCATCTTCCCGCTTTCCTGGTGTCTCATTTCTTGTTGACTTTGACTGAGCTTGTAAAGCACTTAGAAATGAGGCCTGCACTTTACTTTTGCCCTATGACCTCTTCCTGTTGGCTATGCCCAGTCATTAGGTTATCTTCAGTTGTGATATCTAGATATCTGCCGCATCTACAGAGACAGTTAAGGCATATTTTATATATGTTTTCTTTTGTTAATGGACTGCTTTTTCTCCAACTATGTAGACAAATTTTGCTGGATAATCTTAGAGATAGCCCCACTGTAGTTCTTTAAAAGAAGAAAATGGAGGTATGAAAAGACTTAAAACAAAAAAGATAACAAAAAAGAAAACAAACAAAAAACCCCCCTCCTTCCCCTCCCACTCCTTTCTTCCTGCTGAGGTTACTGAACAGGAAAGATAAACTGTCTAAACATACGTTGTCATATTTAGTTTAAATAGGCTGAAAAACCAACTAAGTTAAAATGGAGCAAACTCCTATATGGTTTAAAACTGACTTACAATGGTGCAAATTGAATGGATAAATCAGTTTTAAAACAATACAGGGGTGTCCATGCAGGGATTTTAACTGGTAAGTGTCAACAGATAATTGTACCAGTTTAATATAATACCAGTATGTTTTAAATAATAGTAACTAACCTTAGTTAAAGATGTGCAACTAAGCAGGTATGCAAATATTTGCCTTTCTTATCTCTCTGACCATCTATGCTATATAAACAGTGCCAATCACCATGCTAATTGGGTGCTAGTACTCCTCCCCCAAGTAAACAAAAGGATTAACCTGGCATGAAAAGAGACCATAGCTGTCCAGACTAGTTTTGAAGTATCTGTGAGAGCACTGCTGAGTTCCCAGTTCAATCTTAAATGTTACTGCCATACTGTGGGAATTGGATTAGCCTGGGGAGGGCTAAATACATCTTTTTGGTGGTGGGGTTTGCCTGGAGACAGGTTTATGAGTCCTGGGATATAGCTCAGACCAGTTTTTGCACCACTTGGCATGTGGGCACTATTATTCCACCCTATGTCTGTACTACGATTGGCAGTTGTGATGGTAGTATGTGTTGTCCTAACCTTGCTGTGGTATTGATAGTGGTGAGGTTGCTGCTGTACCAGCCTGCTTGAGGTGCTGCATATGTACTTGGAAAGCCTACACTGAAACCTGTAGACACAGAGGCTACACCTGTACCCCCAGTTACTGTGGAGACCTACTAGATAAGTACCTGACAGGCCAAGCATACTAAGAGTCTACACCAGGCTAGTGTAAAAAAGCTCTTACCTATTTCAGTTCATATCCTATCTTATTTTGCAGTAACTCTCCTGTGTAGCCCTGTCAAGAAAGGGAGAGAGAAACCTCTCCATTGGTAAGGGCAGAATTAGCTTTCCAGTGTAACTGTTTTGGATGCCATTTTACACTGTACCAACTTCCTTAATTTTGTTATGTTTGTTCTCTTACTAGAGAACTTAAGGGGAAAATCTGAAGTCAACTGTACCTTGAGGGCAAGTTAAGAAAAAAGTCATATCCTATTCTTGTAAAAGGTGAGCCAGAAATTTCTAGGTTAAGAGGTTTTTCAAATTGGTTTTATTCAGTTGATTTCATTCGATACTGGCTCCCCTAAAGAATTTTGTATGGTGCAATGGGTTCAAAAGCCACCCAGAGCTCCATGTTAAGCAAGTGGACTTAAAAAAAAAGAGTTGGTCCTCTCAATGCTAGGCATGTTTAAGTGCATGGTTTTGTGCATAGGGGTGAATTTCACCTCCTAAAAAGAGGTGCCTATTTAATATACACAATATCCAAACTGATCAGGGGATCCCTGCAAAATATAAATATAACTTTGGGCTGTTGGTTAAATGTTGTTTTCTGACTCAGCAACTTTCTGTTTTCTTCTTTGTCACAGATTTGTTATGCAACTTTGGGCAAGTTACTGAAATTCTCTGTGGCTCTGCCTTGCTTTCCTTGTAAAATTGGAGCACTTTGGAGGAAATGTGCTGTAGAAATGCAAGGCACTACCTGCTCCCTGCACAACCATGCATAGGAATACCCTGATTTCCAGGTATTTATGTACAATATAAACCCTAATATTAATAGACTTCACTGAATGCAGAGGACTTCCAACAGAAGGATTGTGTTGTTTTTCTGCAGGAGACTGATCTCAATTTCTGGCTTTGTCATAACTTCTTACATATCAGTCTCAATAAAGGTCAATCTCTCTGCCACAGTTGCTTATCTGTAAACCAGAGACAATGCTTCCAGTCTCTATCTGGTCTGTTTAGACTTAATTTTGATTGGGGCCTGTATATGCTACTGGAGAATAAATAATTATCATTCAGAAGCAAATGTTCCTGAGTCCATGTTAACAGCAGTTGCTGTTATCGACAGGGTAGAATGTAATGTTTGCAATATCAGGTCAAATAAAGTTTCCTCTATGTGTGTGTTTCTTTGTAGTAACCTTCAAAGTTAAGGACTGGCAGCACTGTAGACTTTAAACTCTGTTTATGTACTGGACAGGTACTGTACATAGCTGTTGGTGGACAGGTACTAAAAATATGAACAGCCAAGGCAAGATTTCAGATAGGGTTTCCATGCCTGATTCCAAACAAGGAGTAAAGCCACCTATCACAGAAGATTAGCACAGGACAAACCCTTCAACAGTGTGGGACTTCTTAGTCTGGTGGTACTTAACTGGTTGCAGGAAAGAGTTATTGACACTGTACAGATCACATATTAAAATATATAAATCCAAGTTTAACAGATGTGGAACCAGCTTCCTTACAGGTCTCTAGTAAGTTAAATCAGTTTCTGTTTAGTTACTACTGTTTGAAATACAAAAAAATTGTGATGGCTTATTTGAATGTTGTAATGAATTTACTTGAGCCTCATTCTCAACCCTTTGTGTTTTTGCTTCCTAAAAACATCTGAGTAATCACATTCATGGCAAAAAATATTTGAAGAAAACAGATTTCAAAATTACATGAGCAGCTACTTGTGAAACCAGAAACTTAAATAAACACAGGCAAGCATTCCTACCAGCAGTACTTGCACATTCATCCAGGCATGAATTACAAACAATACTGTTACATCAGAAAATACAGATTTAATTGTCATTGGGCAGGTATGAAATGAAGTTTGACATTTGACTACCAGAAGAACCAGAATATAAAAAAAGGTTCATTAAATACACAAGATAAAATTGCAGTTGGGTCATGGATTGTCTGTGAGCAGGAAAAAAATATATTACTCTTTTAGGAAAATCCAATAAAAACTATTAAGAGTAAGTCAATGAGATTCTGTAAAAACTGTTCTTCAACTTACATAATGTTAAAGAATAAAAATCTGTTGTAGTCAATAGTTTATTGTGGAAAAAAAGAGATCATAAGCATTGCAATGTAATGAGAATTAATTCAGAGCCAAGTTGAATATAGACGTGTATGCAGCAGCATCAACTGTTCACGGATGATCTTAAGCAAGAAAAGAGAAGGAAAATCAAATCTGGATGGAGTCTGACATTACCATGTCAAAAGGATCAAACAATGCTTTATGGCAATTCTGGGAAAGCACCAACATTCCCCTCCCCACTTCAAATATATCCTCTTGGATGGGACAGGAATTATTACTGTATCTCCGTAGTATATGTTTGTATATAATGGTTATCATAAATAACCTATATCTTTTAAAGCATTCTGTCTCCAAACTGGGCTGCTGTATTTTCTAATGCAAAACAAGAATTTTTAGTTTATTCTCTCAATCGTTTGCTCTGAGCATTTGCCTAGAACACAGTGCCAGATGCAATTGCTCTCAGTGGAAAGCTGACAGTTCAGGGGCAAAGATTTTTGGATGTCTGATATAGGCACCAGCTGTTTGTTCCCAGTGGTGTGGGACTGCTGCTGTAAGAGCTGCAAACCAAAAGTAAAAATACAGGACTATGCTGGATGCATCCACTAACTAGAAGGCTCAGAAGAGAGCAAGGGTAGAGGGAAGGGGTGCTTGGATCTGGGTCTTGCTTATGCCTAGGCTTGTCTTAAGCTTATAGATAGATAGAATCAGGTGTTTAACTGCTCAGCACTGTAACCTGTTCTTGTGAAATATTGGGGGCTCCAGATTGCTGAGAAGAGATTCTTTTTTCTTTTCTACTAAATGTTCCAAGGAAACTTTTACTATCTTAAGTCACACCTGGAATGCAGCTGAAAAGCAGGCCCTTCAGACTCTACCCAGAACCAAACCTATGGGATATTGGTTTGGATTCAGTGTTTCAAGTTGACAATATCATGCCTGTCCTAACACCAGAAAAATCAAAGGGCTTCAGATGGAAAGTTCTAGCTGGAAATCCGTTGGTACTTTTTATGACCAGTGAAGATATTTTAGGATCCATTGTTCGGTCACTTCATTGGATTGTCTGGGTGGCAATGAGACATCCACTATTTCCAATGTGAAAAAATGATGCACTGTGGGATATTATTGCTTAAACTAACTGCGAGCTGGAAAATACAAAATTTCATGCATGGGAAAGGGGAGAATTTTAAGAACTCTTATCACTGCTAAATACCCTCCCATAACCTGATCAGTAGGATCCTTACAGCTCAGATATTGACATTAATTTTGCTGTGTGGTGCACATGGAAAAAGGAAGAGAAACCAGCATTTTTATATCATCTTGTGAGTCTGAATATATTATCATGAAGTCTAACTCCCTTTCATCCTTTTCTCCTCTCATAATTTCTCTCTGAAACTTTTTCCCGCAGCTTACTTTGCCCTCCTTTTACCTAGGATATTCTAATTTAGGCCAGAAGAACCCAAAGCCCAACTGAGCACACACCGGCAACATGCCAGAAGCCTGAGGGATGATTCTAATTTCCATAACATGGAGCAGGTTGCAGCTGTCCTCCTCTTTAATATGGAAGTACAGCATGCAGAGACTTACAGACCTAGCATGCTCGTGCTGCATTTGGACCTTGTGCTGTGCTCTGTATGATTTATAGCTTCATTTCATGGGATTTATTGCTTTTCCACTTGACATTGCTTGTACTAGAGCTTGATTATTTTTTTTAGAACAGGATTATTAGGTAACGTATCTAAAAAGAGAAATTCCATGTGTTAGTGACTACGTATACCACACAAGGCTTTTTGGTGTTGGTTGGCTTGTTTGCTGAATATTGATTCACTTTGCTGCTGGAGCCTCAGTGGGTGACTCTCTCTTTTGGGCAGCATTGACCCAATGCCCTGGCATTTAGGAGTTATGAGCTGTTGAATAAGTTGTCTGTTGCATATGATACACAATTAGGTTCCTGACTTATTGGGAGACCATGAACAGTGCTTTACCACTTTTTGCAAGAGGCAGTGGTCTGATGTTCCCATATCAACAATATGCACCCCTGCAGTAGCAATTTGACATGGGTATTTTTCTCCCAGTTAATGACACTAATCCTAGCACTTGCAAAACTTATGTGCTTAAGCATAATTTGGACAGAGATGTTTTGAATACAATACCCTAGATGTGAAAACCCTGCATATGCCACATGTAATAGAACTATCTACAGCATGTGTACAGTTTATAAGCCTCTACAATGTTTGTTGACTGGGGTGCTTCATCCCCACCCTGCAGTCAGCTCCAATGCTGGTAGCAGTAGCTGTGACTTAATCTTGAAACAATTTGGACATTCTTACCACCCTATTCACTAAACTAACTCAAAATAGAGGGAGAGGATACAACGGTCAAATAACCTAACCCTTGTCTCCACTGGCAGTGGTACTAGTGATTGGATTAGTGAGGGCTTATTTCTTCCTGAACAGGTTCTTTCAGAACAAAGTGCTTTTGACATGATGATGGTGGGACTGAAGCTATCACTAGGCTACAGCAACCACCACTGAATATACCTGACTTTGAGGGGTGACCCTTGCACAGCTGCTCCTTCAAATGTGTCTTCTCTGCACCCCAGTGGCTGGCAGCAACGCAATTTTCTAGTGCTGACCGTTGGAAGCATTTTTGAGACACTGAAATGCACTGAAAGCATTGCTTTTTGCTTTCAGCACTCTGCTGTAGCTTGCTTCTACAGTCCCAGGCAAACTCCAATCCAGGTAACTACATCCTACTTATTTTGGTATCTCCCACACATCTTCAATTACATGCTGTGTCCTTTGCTTCCTATCTTACCATCCTTGTTTAACCCTGCTACACTTCTTTCACACTCTGTTCTGGCCTGTGGCTGCCTTCCAGTGGTGGGTGAAGTGACTCCTGGAGCTGCACAGTATTTATAAATCCGTAAAGCAGGGCTGGGTCTTTCTGAATCAAAAAACAAACCAACAAAAAACAAAACCAAAAAAACCAACAAACCAAACAAAAAACCCACCTATCCCACAATGGATATGAAAGTTTCCTTCGTTCTGAATCAAACTCTATCAGTGCCATGTGACTAGCGAGACCAATGAGAGGGGAAGTGAAATCCTAGCCTTTTAAAAGAATTAACAAGCCCACTTTCCAGCTAGGAGGCTGTTCAGCACCAAGAGCGATTCAGGCCTCCAAAGGGGTCTTACTGAGTTTTATTAAATATTGGATCATCTCTCTACTTATGTCATGGCTTGATCTCTTCCCATGATAAGATATCAGTGGGCATTAGGAGAGCCTGCAACAACTGCAGCTGGGATCCCAATGCCTCTGCCCCTATTAGCCTTGGAACAATAATACCAGGAGTGGAAGGGGGGGGGGGGG